TCATGTAAAACCAGGCCATATCCTGCGGACTGAGACGGATACTTAGGATGTTTCCATATCTTGGCTGTCGTAAATGATGCTGCAATGAACATATTAGTGCCCATTCATTGTACCCATTTTCTCCGGAAAATACCCCCAAAGTGGAATTGATGCATCATACGGTACTTCTAATTTTTTGAGGAACCTCCATGCTATTTTCTACAGAGGTGCACCAATTTACATTCCATACACTACCCACAGTGCACGAGACTTCCTTTTTCCCTCCATCCTCACAAGCATTTGTTATTCCTAGTCTTTTTGGTTAGAGCTATTGTAACTGGTGGGACGTTTTACCTTGTTGTCGCTTTGATTTGTCTTTCCCTGATTAGTGATATGGAAGACCTTTTCACATACGTATTGGGCATCTGTAAGGCTTCTGTGGAAAAATGTCTATTCACATCTTTTGCCAGGTTTTATTCAAGTTGTTTGATTTTTCGTTTTTCTGCTCTTGAGTTTTTGGAAGTCATTTTGTATTTTGGATCTTAACCCTTTATCAGATACATGATTTGCAAGTATTTCTCCCATTGGCCAGGTTGCCTTTTCATTTTGTTCACGATTTCCTTTGCTGTGCAGAAGCTTTTTAGTTTGATGTAGCCCCATCTCTTTATATTTGTTGCCGTTGTCCTTCCTCTAGGTGTCAGCTTCAAAAATAAATAAATGAATAAATTGCCAAGACTGGTGTGAAGAAGCTTACCACCTATGATTTCTTCCAGGCGTTTTATGGTTTCGCGTCTTACGTTTAATCTTTAGCCCATGGTGTAAGACGGTGACCCATTCCATTGTTTTGCATGCGGCTGTCCAGGTTTCCCAATACCACTGAAGGGACTGTTCTTTCCCCCGTTGTATATTCTTAGCTCCTTTTGTAAATTAATTGATCATATATGTATGGCTTTCTTTCTGAGCTCTCTATAGTCTCATCGGTTGCTCTCGGCATCTGTTTTTATGCCGATACCATACTGTTTTGATTATTATAGCTTTGTAAAAGTGTTTGAAATCCAGGAGTGTCAGGCCTCCAGCTTGGTTCTTCTTTCTCAAGACTGCGCTGCCTATTTTCGGGTTTGTGTATCTTTGATTGATCCATTGTTTGTGGTTCCATACCAAGTTTAGGATTGTTTGTTCTTTTCTTGTGAAAAATGCCATTGAATTTCGGTAGAGATTGCACTGCCTCTCTAGATTGCTTTGGGTAGCATAGACATTTAACGATACCAACTCTTCCCGTCCCCGAGGATGGAATAGCTTTCCATTTATTTGTGTCTTCTTCAATTTTTTTCTTCGTC